TGCACATGGCGCTCGGCCTCGGAGGCTCCAGGGCGCGCTCGGCTGCCGGGCTGCGGGGCGGCGGTGCGCTCCGGCCTCCAGGGCGCGCGGCTGCGGGAGGAGATGCGGGCTGTGCGCGCCCGACCCTCAGGGCCCGGGCTCCTGCGTGAAGTTTCTGCGCCTCCGGAGCCGGAGCTACTTTGCATCTTTAAAATCCTTGCAGCCCTGAGATGCGCAGTGGCTGTCATTCCAGAATGGGCGCTTTTCTTTTTCCGGTTACTACTCCCCTTCCAGTTCCGTACCTTGGAGGATTATTTGTGCTCCTAGATCTAAAATCGTAAGAAGAATGAGATTTCGATTCAAGGTGGAATTCGCCAGTGGTGTCTTAGCTCTCTCTGCCCCTCCACTCTTTTTTTATAAAAAGTGAGTCCTGTATCGTACAGAACACATCCTATTGAGAGAACATTTGTTTCTTTTTTGTTGCATTAAAGAAATTAGCCCGAAGTCTCGGCACTGAGGAGAAAAGATACTGTAACACTAGTTGTGTCACTGTACTTGCTTATTGTATACCGGGCAAAGCACTAAGTGCCGGCGCTCTGGTGGCTCATCGGTTAAATTGCTTGGAATTGAGAGATGTGGCAGTGAGCTTCTCTAAAGATTGGAAACCCTGTTGGCAGTTCCCCTCCAACCAGCATGGCCCGGATGAGTCTAGAGTGGATTTAATGGCAGTGAATGGCTTTAGAGCAAAGTGCTTTCATATGCACATTTATTTCATTTCTAGCAAATGCACTAATGAGGTGCTTTTAATTATCTTCATTTGCAGATGAAAATCTGAAGGATCAGATTAAAGGAAGGTTGATGCTTACTGCAGATCCTGGACCTTTGTACCCTTCACTGTCATGTTGGGCTTGGTGGTCATATGTACATGCACACACCCTTTGGAAATATTAACTGTTTATTACAGACGATTATATTGTACAAAAGTGGTTTCCAGGTACCATAGAAAATGAAAATTAGTAACATACCTGATGACGTTCAACAGGGCATTGATAAAGGGAGTACTCAGTTTCTGCTAAAGACACCATCTCTTTCTCTTTTTAGAGGCTTTCTGTCTGAATTGTGTTTACTAATTAAATACCTCTTCCTCACACACTGCCCCATCCTGGGTCCTGGATTTTCTTCAGGTATTAGAAGCTTTCCCCCCACTGCTTCTGTGCACTGTTTTCCAAAGCACATCATTTATTTGCGTAAGAAGAGTTCAAAGCAATGAGTCCCAGTGTTGGTACTTCTCAGGATGACCAGTACAGTGGTTTGTTTGGTCTTTTTTTGTTGTTGTTGTGTTGTTTTTTAGGAGAACAAACATCAGGGTCCTTGACATTTCCATTGTAGGGAGGTGAGTCTGAGAATCACTAGGGTAGTTATGTTCAAATAAACTTTGTGATTGATTTCCTACACTCTCGTTAGGACGTTTAAATACAGGTTGATCCTTTGGAAATTGTTGGCTAATCTTTTTCATAATTAATTAAGGAAACTCAAAAAGAGAAAAGTGTCATTAGAGGGGAGGACCAGAAAGCTAAGATGCTGATAGATGGTTGTGTTTCCTCTGGAAACAAACTAATTTTAAAAAAACAAAACACCACAACAAAACAAAACAAACTGACAGCCATGGCATATAGCTGACCCTTCGTTGGATTTCCAAGGCAGTAAATCACTCAGGAGGAGATTACTTGTCTTTTCTCCCATGTCAAGTGTTACCTATTAGGCTGCTTAGTGGAGTGGACTTGGGGGAGGGATTGTATAACAATGAAAGATTTTTTTTTTTTCCCTTTTTCTTTTCTAAGAGCAAACTGGAGGGGTGGGGTGGGCAGGGAGAAAAGTGCAGCAATAAATGAATGGAAATTTAAAAAAAAAAAGCACAAACAAAAAGAGTCTTCTGTTTCCTTTTAATTCAAAGAACATAAAGACCCTCTGGAGGCCTAGTAGAATGGAGATGCGCTCCCAACCCAAAGGGATGTAATGCCTTCCACCAGCTGCTCTATGCGAGAAAAGATGGGCAGTCACCTCTGAATACCTGCTAGAGAGTCAGCTGTGAGGCTGTTCCAATCCAATGGTGCATAGCAGCAACTAAGGAAGGTGCCCCCCCCCTAATATTGTGTACCCAGTTCTCAAAGCTGAAAACAAGACCCAAGAAGCAAAAGGGCGCTCACAAAAATCTGTCTTGTTTTGAGTTTAGCACCATGGTGACAGTTTGTCTTCGACTCACTCTGGAAAGATTTTTGCCTAAGAAGTAGATGATGTAAATGTTTTAAAGCAGTAATAGTTTTGTGTTTAGCCACATTTATGAATGTATTGGCTGTATTAAGGAGCTCTGGTCATGTAATGCATTACCTGTTGTGCTGCTAACTTAAAGGTCATTGGTTCTAATCTACTAGTCACTCCAAGGGAGAAAGGTGGGTAGTCTCTTATAAAGAGTTCCGGCCTCTGGAACTGATGGATGGCCCGGGAGTTGGAATCTCCTTGTGGGCAGTGGGCTGTGGCCTTGTTATGTCATGCAGTAAATGCCTTAGTCATCTGAAAAGCACAACTGAACAAGGCAATTCTCAAGATCTGCAGACTTCAGAAAGTTTTGTGATTTTTAGGTAGCTTCTGGCTTTCTCTGAGGAGGAAATGAAGTGTATGCTCTCTGCCAGACTCCACAGATGACTCCACATGGATAATTTGTTCATCTCTTCCTCATCGACCTCTTCCATTTGCATTTTCTTTTATACTTCCTTTTTCAGTAGTTGATTTCTTTATGTGCTGTGTGTGGTTTTTCTAGTTTTGTTCTGTTTCACTTTGACGCTGCGATCAAGTGCACATAACATGAGATTAATCATTTCAGTGTGTCCTCCGGTGACATTTACATTCTCAGGGTTGTGCAACCCCCACTTCTGCCTCCTTTCAGAATGTTTGCATCATCCCAAAGAAAATGGCAAACCTGTCAGGCAGGAACTCCCATTTCTCCCATCTCTTAACCTTGACAGCCAGCAATCTCCTGCCTTTCTCTCTGAACCGACCATTCTCTTGATAGTTTCCCTAAGTGCAATCAAGCTTGCCACAGATGCTTCTCTCCCTTACAAGGTGGTGTCGAGGTTCCTTCATGTGCATAATTCCTTTTCGTGGCTGTGTTATATTCCGCCGCATGGGTACACCATGCTTTGTTAATTCATGTATCTACAGACAGCCTCTTGTGGAGTTTAATGTGCCGGTTGGTTGAGAGTTGGACAGGCATCTGGAGCAGCCACTGGGCACGCTTGTACAATTACTTCTTTGAACAAATTGGTTCATGTTCCCCTCCCCCCCAGCCCCCCTTACTGAGGATTTTCATTTACACTCCAGTTATACTGAATCAGAATCTATTTTAACAAGATTTTCAGGTGACTCTTGGGCCTTTCTAGGTGATTCTAATTTGTCTGCACAAAAGTCACCTGGGGGTTTGATTAAACTGTAGCTTTTTTTTTTTTTAATTTAGTAATATGGGGAATCGTCACTCTTGGAACCAGATGTCAGGAAATCAAAGACAAATTGCACTGTGAAAATCTGCTGTCAGGGACCGCTCCAGAGTACCGAGAAGCAATGAAGTCAGTCCAGAGACTAAGGTGCGCCTGATCCAGGCCATGGTCTTCACAGTTGCTTACTATGCATCAGAGAGCTGGACAGTGACTAAGGATGACAGAAGAAGAATTGATTCCTTTGAGTTGTCGTGCTGGAGAAGTCTTGAACATATCATGGACCACCGAGAAAACAAATAGGTCTGCCTTGGAGAAGGTGAAACCAAGTTTCTTGTTGGAGGCTAGGATTTTTAAACTCCATCTCACATACTTTGGGCACGTGGCCAGGAGGGACCAGTCTTTGGAGAAGGACATTATGCTCGGAAGGGTGGAAGGACAGTGTAGGAGAGGAAGATCCTGAATGAGATGGGTTAATACAGTACTGGCGTAATGAAGGTAGTTGTGTTGAATTCAGTGAGACTGGCTCAGGACAGGGCAGCCTTCAGAGCTGTGGTACAGAGAGTCACTGACTCGACAACACACAACAACAATAGTGGAAATGTAGCTTCTTAGCAGGAGGAGGAACGATCTGGTCCAGAGCTCTGAGGCGGGCAGTGCTGTCTGTCAAACCAGTGTAGAGAAACAGACGTGATGGAAATCGATTGTGTTCATAGGTTCTACAAAATGTGCTAAATGCTAAGGCGGTTTGTGATATCAGGTGTACTGTTTATTTGGCGATAACATTCATTTTAATGCATTTGAAGGACCTGTGGTCGACCGCAATGACCTTTTCCCCCCCCTTTTTTTTAAAAAAATCAGTTCTTTGGTAGCTTTCCACCTACAAGTCACTGGCTGACTCACGTAAGTGCTTGGCTATTAATTGAATTGACGGTGGCTCCGACCCACTGAGATTCCAAGAATCAGAAGTCCTCATGGAGCACCGTTCTGCTCTGAAACACACGGGCATCCCATGAGTCAGAGTCAACTCGGTGTCTGCTGTGGGTTTTTCGTTTGTTTTCCTAGCTTTCAGAAAATTTAACATTAGATGTGTACTTTCTTGTGTGGAAATGGCTGGTGACTTACATTTAGGGGTAGAAACAATTGCCCTTCACTCCAGAGACGTGGGAGAAGGAACAGCTCCATTGCTTCATCAGGCTTGATGAGAGTGGAGTTGGCAAAAATGATTCAGAACTAGACCTATCATTTACCATGAGATACAAAATTGCTGCATGAGGTACAGATAGCGACATTGTATGTAAGTGTGAGCCTTTTCCCTGATCTCTTGGAATTTATATTGGACACTTCTTTGCCATACTTACTTTAAGAGCATATCTTTTATGGGATTTCCCCCTCCCCCATTTGTTTCCAGTATCTACCCATCTTTTCCTCTTCTCCCTCCTCTCCCTCCTCACTTCACTCCAGGATGGTAGCGTGAGATTCAAGCAGATTGGATGTCTGACTATTTAAACAGACTCCCATATAAACTTGGAAAAAACAGGCAGAACCAAAAGCCACTTGAATGTCTTAGTGGGGGTGTGTTTGTCTCTGGCTGCCTAGTGTATAAGAAATTGTACTGTCAGCACAAAGTTGGTCAGTTCGAAT